GGGGTCGCGCTAAATCACGAATTGGTAGAAGTTAGAATTCACGAGCCATTAAATCGGGTCCCAGTGGCTGAATCGTATACGAGCTTGACTTGTAACCGGAAGGTCCTAGGTTCGAATCCCAGTGGGTGCGTACTGCCGATGATTCTCAAACTAGGATGAAACAGCAGCTGTCCAGTACTCCCTGGTTTTCAATGGTTCTCTAACTGATATCAATCCGTGATCAACTCGTAAAACATAACTAATCCTTACAAACCAAAACTATAGAAAGTTAATCTGATGCTCGCTAGTGACTTGCTACAGGTTGGAGTTTCCTGAGTTCTAGTGAGAAGTCGTGACCAGTGAGGTCCAATTAGATGTCACGTGTGTGGATGGATGTCCCACCAACGACAATGGTTGGGGTCGCGCTAAATCACGAATTGGTAGAAGTTAGAATTCACGAGCCATTAAATCGGGTCCCAGTGGCTGAATCGTATACGAGCTTGACTTGTAACCGGAAGGTCCTAGGTTCGAATCCCAGTGGGTGCGTACTGCCGATGATTCCCAAACTAGGATGAAACAGCAGCTGTCCAGTACTCCCTGGTTTTCAATGGTTCTCTAACTGATATCAATCCGTGATCAACTCGTAAAACATAACTAATCCTTACAAACCAAAACTATAGAAAGTTAATCTGATGCTCGCTAGTGACTTGCTACAGGTTGGAGTTTCCTGAGTTCTAGTGAGAAGTCGTGACCAGTGAGGTCCAATTAGATGTCACGTGTGTGGATGGATGTCCCACCAACGACAATGGTTGGGGTCGCGCTAAATCACGAATTGGTAGAAGTTAGAATTCACGAGCCATTAAATCGGGTCCCAGTGGCTGAATCGTATACGAGCTTGACTTGTAACCGGAAGGTCCTAGGTTCGAATCCCAGTGGGTGCGTACTGCCGATGATTCCCAAACTAGGATGAAACAGCAGCTGTCCAGTACTCCCTGGTTTTCAATGGTTCTCTAACTGATATCAATCCGTGATCAACTCGTAAAACATAACTAATCCTTACAAACCAAAACTATAGAAAGTTAATCTGATGCTCGCTAGTGACTTGCTACAGGTTGGAGTTTCCTGAGTTCTAGTGAGAAGTCGTGACCAGTGAGGTCCAATTAGATGTCACGTGTGTGGATGGATGTCCCACCAACGACAATGGTTGGGGTCGCGCTAAATCACGAATTGGTAGAAGTTAGAATTCACGAGCCATTAAATCGGGTCCCAGTGGCTGAATCGTATACGAGCTTGACTTGTAACCGGAAGGTCCTAGGTTCGAATCCCAGTGGGTGCGTACTGCCGATGATTCCCAAACTAGGATGAAACAGCAGCTGTCCAGTACTCCCTGGTTTTCAATGGTTCTCTAACTGATATCAATCCGTGATCAACTCGTAAAACATAACTAATCCTTACAAACCAAAACTATAGAAAGTTAATCTGATGCTCGCTAGTGACTTGCTACAGGTTGGAGTTTCCTGAGTTCTAGTGAGAAGTCGTGACCAGTGAGGTCCAATTAGATGTCACGTGTGTGGATGGATGTCCCACCAACGACAATGGTTGGGGTCGCGCTAAATCACGAATTGGTAGAAGTTAGAATTCACGAGCCATTAAATCGGGTCCCAGTGGCTGAATCGTATACGAGCTTGACTTGTAACCGGAAGGTCCTAGGTTCGAATCCCAGTGGGTGCGTACTGCCGATGATTCCCAAACTAGGATGAAACAGCAGCTGTCCAGTACTCCCTGGTTTTCAATGGTTCTCTAACTGATATCAATCCGTGATCAACTCGTAAAACATAACTAATCCTTACAAACCAAAACTATAGAAAGTTAATCTGATGCTCGCTAGTGACTTGCTACAGGTTGGAGTTTCCTGAGTTCTAGTGAGAAGTCGTGACCAGTGAGGTCCAATTAGATGTCACGTGTGTGGATGGATGTCCCACCAACGACAATGGTTGGGGTCGCGCTAAATCACGAATTGGTAGAAGTTAGAATTCACGAGCCATTAAATCGGGTCCCAGTGGCTGAATCGTATACGAGCTTGACTTGTAACCGGAAGGTCCTAGGTTCGAATCCCAGTGGGTGCGTACTGCCGATGATTCCCAAACTAGGATGAAACAGCAGCTGTCCAGTACTCCCTGGTTTTCAATGGTTCTCTAACTGATATCAATCCGTGATCAACTCGTAAAACATAACTAATCCTTACAAACCAAAACTATAGAAAGTTAATCTGATGCTCGCTAGTGACTTGCTACAGGTTGGAGTTTCCTGAGTTCTAGTGAGAAGTCGTGACCAGTGAGGTCCAATTAGATGTCACGTGTGTGGATGGATGTCCCACCAACGACAATGGTTGGGGTCGCGCTAAATCACGAATTGGTAGAAGTTAGAATTCACGAGCCATTAAATCGGGTCCCAGTGGCTGAATCGTATACGAGCTTGACTTGTAACCGGAAGGTCCTAGGTTCGAATCCCAGTGGGTGCGTACTGCCGATGATTCCCAAACTAGGATGAAACAGCAGCTGTCCAGTACTCCCTGGTTTTCAATGGTTCTCTAACTGATATCAATCCGTGATCAACTCGTAAAACATAACTAATCCTTACAAACCAAAACTATAGAAAGTTAATCTGATGCTCGCTAGTGACTTGCTACAGGTTGGAGTTTCCTGAGTTCTAGTGAGAAGTCGTGACCAGTGAGGTCCAATTAGATGTCACGTGTGTGGATGGATGTCCCACCAACGACAATGGTTGGGGTCGCGCTAAATCACGAATTGGTAGAAGTTAGAATTCACGAGCCATTAAATCGGGTCCCAGTGGCTGAATCGTATACGAGCTTGATTATTTTTATATGTTGGTGTTACAATAAAGAATTCTGGAGTGGTCAATCGGTCTTTTGGTTTTTTCGTCCGTTATTACTAAGCGTTTCTGAAAAACTGCGAAGAACAGCGTGGGCCCGAGCGTAGCAAGAGCTGGGCATTAACGGTTTATGAGACGTGGCTGACAGATGCAGCTGCAGTCTTGCATCACTATATTTTCTCCAGTATAGACAATGGGGCTAAATTCGCTACACCCTCCTAGATAACACATCTGCTTTCGACCCAGTAACTAGAGATATTCTGTTAAATAAGCTTGCTGAAACTCAAACTGAGTGTTGTATTGTTAAATGTACTGTACTGCACTAAGATGAATAGCTCTCTATTAGGAGTCAGAAAATGCTTTTAAACTAAATCCTTCGAAATATCAGACTGTTATTTCCAGTTTCCGTTGTGAAAGAAAGTTACGTGAAGGTGTTAATTCCTATGACAGTTGCGAAATTGACAATAGCGATATAGAAGTCAAGTCTGACTTTAAGTATCTTGGACTAATTCATCACAGCGTATTGGCCCTAAATGCATGCCACATGTAGGCATAATGTTTAAGAGCTGGGTATGCAAATCAAGGTAAACACTTGTACGGTACATTCATTATTTACAAAACTAACTCGTATCCAAGATCTACGGTTTGGTCAGTTATACAACGTTTAATACATTTAGACACAACTAACCTACGATGCTTACTTCTATGACGCATTACCTAAAGCTACGTAGTTACCTTAAAGTGGCTTCCGCTGAAGGTAATCTTCTGTAGCCACTGCCTTAGTGGGCAACTTAACGTTATCTCTGAATAACGAAGTAAAAGCAGAAATTCTGAGAACTTTCGTGGTGAAAAGATCGTCTCCTACTCCAAAAAATTAAATATACCCTAGTCTCCACAAAAACGTTCAGAGGTATCCACCTTATCACCTGAAACGATTCACTATTTGCAGTCATTTAAAAAGTAAAAATAAATTTACCGATGGCAGCTTATGATTTCTAGATATCATAATGTACCATGAGGAAAACGCTATATCCGCGTGGTTATAACAGTCAGATGCGCAAAATTAGTCCGAGACACAACAACCACGATTCTCAGTCACAGAACATCCTACTTCGCTACCTAATCGTATAATCGTATCAACGGATGTTTGGCCAAAGAAAAGAAGACTACTGGTTCAAGGAAAATTTAGTCAGAGTTTTTTAAAAATCATGGACACCCATGTTTATAGTCACGGAAAAATCACAACTTCGAGGAAACCACCGATCGTAAATTACAACCCGAAACGTTATTCTTCTTAATTAATGTCTTACCTTTAACTGGGATAGTTCGTACACTCACCAGATCATCGTATTTTATCCGCTTTGCAACACATCGAATGGATGTTAACACTGGCTCTATTACGGGAAGTCCTAGTTCATGTATTTGGATCTAGTACATTAAGCAATAATAAGCACTTACCCTTAGGGGTTTAGTTTCTTTCAGTTCCCCAAAATACACACAAGCACAACAGACCCATACTTTTCATGCTGCTCAACCTCGTATGACTTAGATTCCCTCACAACATATGTCTTTTTAAATGATAGCAGACACACTGATGGTATATTCATTCTCAAAAAGCTTCAAAGCTTCTTCAACTTAAACCCAGGTTCTTAATTCTCCAGGATTGTGTTCTTTGAAAACCTTGGTAATATCAACTTTGATTGTGCTCTCCTCACCAGATTTACTGGTAAATTGTTGCATGCTGTAGACATTAAACATGAAAGACATTAGTTTTCCAGATTTCTACATGTTAAATAACCAAATGAGCCAGCAACAAAACCTGCAACCAACAAATGGACTGGAAACAGCAAAACATCTTCATGTGCATGATTTCCAAAACTTCTACACAGTACCAATTCATTAACAGCTGAAAACCAATTAAAACACTGAAAGCCGCATATATGCAAGGTATGAAACAATTACACCGAAATGAATCCACTGACCTGGTAGTGAAAACTTTCGAAACCAAAGAAATAATTCATTTTAACAGCAACGGCAACGAAAAATGAGGTGAAACGCAACATTTGTGAACAATACGCAACAAGATAAGTCGTGTATAACGGCAGGATAAACGGAACAACGAACGCGTACACGAACAGCTACGGAACTGCAATCCAACATGGCCGACTAACATGGACGAAAATGACCTTTAAGCGTCTCACTCCACCAATGAACTTGAAAAGTTACGGATAATTTCAGTCTGCTTAAACCATGATACCACCATATACAACCGAGGCACCGGGTAATTCGACTCTGAAGGTCATGTTCGGTTTGGGATCTGCCCCTCCTAAACATGATCCACCCGCCTCGATGGAACCATACGATCTTGGAAGAGACGGGGATTTGGGTGCTCTCAGTAACGCCCAACAAGGGGCGACAAATAAACTTAAGGTTTGCACAGATAAACTTTCTAACACAATTGTTAGACTCAAACACGGTTAAGTAATGAACAGTATTTGCGGCAACACCCGGAAGTGAAGTATATGGTGACAGCATTTTTGAGGTATGGAGAATAAATGTGTGTTGTATTCTGCAGGGATATATTGACTAAACAGCCTGAAAATGCCCGGGAACACTTCGCTGGTAAGTGGATTAAAAAAACATACATTTTCAGACTTTTTCACCAACCCAGACCTTTTAAAAAACATCAAGACAGTCGAAAAAGAGTATTCGGAGATGTATCACGATGATGGCGTCATACGTTCTCTTGCTAGAGAAGATCTTGATTCGGAGGTTTAATCGTATAGTTTCTAAAAAGAAACAACAGAATTTCATATAACTGGAATCTAGGAGTTCTGTAAATACGATTGTAATTATAATCTGTATTGATCTCAAATATACACCTTTCCCCACGACACTATATTGTCGTCAAACTGCAAAGTAGTAGTCAAGAATTCCAAGTGTAATAGATGTTACAAAGAATAATTTGGACTGTATCTCACTAATATGTTGGACAAAGTGTTGAGATGTAATATTTTATGAAAATAAAATTGATTCTTTTCAGGCTTTTTCTCTCAAGAGCGTTTAACCTGGTACATACCAAAATTATTGCATATTCAGATATCATATTGGTTGAGGATAGAAGGTGTGGAGCCCATGTTAGTCCTTTTCTCGTAAACGTCTATGCTTGTCCAAACCCTTCTTTACTGAATCAGTTGAGGTTGCAGACACCACTTCTTCTGGAAGTCGGTTCCAAGAGTTTATGACTCGGTGTGACAACCAGTACTCAACAGAAATATCATTTCTTGGCTTTTGAACTCTCCTATGTCCTCTAAGGTGTTCCAGCCTAGTGGGAAGGAAAAGAGAGAATAGGTCAGGTTCGTAGTCATTATTTGGAATTCTAAACATTGTGAATAAATCTCCTCTCTGCCTACTGTATGACAGGGAGAAGAGATTTCCTCGTATGATAAATTAGTCATGCCGATTTCCCTAAATCTAGGATAATCACTGGGTCCAGATAATCTTCATTTTGTTTCCCTTCGAAATTTTCTAGTGTGTTTTGTGTTCCTCAGTGTAGCTTATGATGGTAAAAATTGGTTGTGTGAAATAAATTATTGACCGAATAGATTCACTTTTTGTTATGACTGTAAGACATGGCCATCGGGAATTGAAAAACTTAACAGGTTAGCCTTGTTTTGACTACAGATATTTACGTTGTGTCTGTTGTGTTAGGCAGTGTAATGTGGTGAGCAATTTCGGGGTTAGGTGTAGTGTTAAGTAAGAAGGAGGTGGAAAGTCAATCTGTGAGGTTGCTAAGCTACATCGATTGACATGGCTAGGACACGTCACGCACGACGGGCCACCACCTTCCCCTAACGAGGAATTTCAACTGATATGGGATCAGTCTGGGAAAGAATGAGGAGTGGTCATTTCGAAGCCTAACATCAGTTCATGAAGTATTTGAAAGCTGGTTTTAGCCAGCCACGTTGATTTAAACCAAACATGTAGGGAAGTGTAGACTATCAGCTTGGGATCCTTGGGATGCTAAGTACCGATGGCTAGAAACTGTTGATCATATGACTCAAAGTCGTTGTCAATGGCTCAAATGTAATAACTCCTTTTAATCCTCGAGATGCGTTAACTCCTCATGCTTTTCGATGTTACCATTCTTTATGTTGTACAGTTTTGCTCATTATAATATTTTTGAACACCTTTCTTTTCTCTACGTTCGGGTTCTAGATGGAGTGTGGCAACTTGATTTAGTGCACTTTTGTGCATAGTTCTATGCTGAAATTCAGTCGATTGATCTTTTGAGTTGAACATACTTAACTCAGTGGTGGCAGATTAACCAACCATTAATTAGAAGGCCTAAACGATGGACAATGAGTGAATGCGAGATTTTGCAGATATGAATCAGTACAAGTTGGCACACACCATGGTGTTATATGCAAAAGTAGATGAGAGGAATATACTGGTACTAGAATGGACAGGAATTTTCAGGCGATATAACTTCGTTATGCTTTCCAGATATCGGAACATCATAAGTGGTGAACGCATCCGTAGCAACGTTAACAACTTGAAGCCATGTCGAACAATATTATCATACCACACGACTGGCTTTATCACTCTTCTTCCAGTTAACAGGCGTCCTGTTGTGGTCTCTCTGTCTCCACCTCATTGAGCCTGAAAGTATCACCAACCCTTCTCTCATAAGGATGAATCATATTCTGCCACATAATAAAAATGTATACTGTGTAGTCGAACTTTCTGAAATAAGAATTAGTTCTTAACACCTTAAGGACCACAGTCAGTGACTACCTATATGTCGTCGTTGGTCGACAACTGGATGCAAAACAGGTGCAGTTTGGAAAATGGTGAGATTTCGTCAGCCACCAGTGGTATATAATTGTGGTCGGAATTATACAGTAATGGAGTCACTACATTCAGCTTTCCATTTATTTGCTAGACCTAGATCAGGACCCTGTGTAAACCAATCCTACATGATTGTCTCTCACTTCACATATGCGGACTTCATGCTCAGGACTTCCAGAAGACTACATTTTTTATCAGAATTATCATCTACACTATTCAGGTCAATTATTCCTTAGGTAGTCCGTCAGATTTCCACACAAAATCAAAATCCATAATATGTATGAGTAGTCTTAAGTTAACCTTATTAATTAATTGGCGTCACTTCATAGGATCACTTTCTATAGGCTCTTATGTTGATGATGAATTTAAGCAGAGTGTCTTGGTCTACACCATTCATGATAAGACAGCCGTCTGTTTTGACTGACAGAGATAAAGGCCGACCTGAGGTCAAATCCAGGTTCGTGCGTATTTAACTACTTGTCGGAAAGTATGTTCCATCAATGTTCTCATCAGAATCTTAGCTTGTTTGACCCTATTTCACTCTGTCTCGATATCTGTAAAGCCTAGGACAGTAGGCACTATAGTGGGTCAAGTTAATTCGACAAACATTTACTCCCTTTTTATGAATTTGGATGATTAGCAGAATATGGAAAGGAAACTATGTTGAGTTCCTTAGTTAGTTTCGTATTAGTCATTATAGTAGTAATGATATTATTATAATTGTTCCCTTGGGTTCCTAGTGGAACATAGGGCTTCAACTGTACGTCTCCATTTGCTTCTGTCTTGTGCTGTACTTTTCACCTGTCTGTCTGTCTGTTTTCGACATAGAACTTTGCACAAATGTGCGGAAGTTCAAGTCGCCACCTTTTCACCTGCATCCATGTTAGTCCTCTTCACACGATCTCGTCCATGTCACCCTTACATCGACGTGCCACTCGGCGCTTCCCTTTCGGGTTCCACTCGAGCAATGGCCTGACGCGCGATGTCACCCACCGGCGTCCTCAGCGAGCGTCAAATCTATCTTCACTTTCTCCCGCATATTTGTTGCTTGGCGATTGGTTCTTGTTGTGTTTGTTTGTTCCCATAGTTGGTGATTCTTTCCGGCCCGGCCATCTGATCTTCAGTACAGAGCGAAGGCAGTTGTTGATAAAGGTCTGCAACAGGCTGTTGGAAATATTCTTTGTGACCCGCCCACCAAGTTTCTGACCCGTATAGAAGAACTGACTGTCTTGACGTGTTTGTGTTGAAAATCCGACCGAATTTTGTTGTTGATGCTGAGTGACGTGGATTTCCAGATTGCTTTCAGGTTGGTGAATGTGTTTCTCGCCTTCCCGATTCTCGATTTGATATCTTCGTCCGTTCTCGCCTGTAGTGGAGACAATGCTTAATGAATGAAGTAACCTCTTTCAAATCTCTCCCGTTGATGGTGATTGGCACTGGATGTTGCTGTTCTTGTTGTTATTGTTGGTTGGTTATTTTTATAACCTCCTGTCTTTGTTGCTTCTTCGTTTCGTTGAAAATCACCTTCAGAGAGTTCCAATGGTCTTCCACACATGAATCTTCCTTGATGTCACGTAGTGTTTCCTGCTTTACTCTGATAGTTGGAGTGAAAGTGTCCTTTGTGGTTGTGTCCTTCAGTTTTTGAGTGTTGAACTTGAATTGTGGCCTATCCCCAGGTATCTTCGAGGCTTTTAGCTTCACGTTGAAAGTCCCTTGTACTAGATACTAATGATAATTATAACAATAATGGTTCTATCAATAGTAGAGATGAAAAAGTGAGACGATCTGTGATAACACGAATAACGAGAAACAGCACGATTAAACAAACAAATGTTCATGTTAGACAAGTATATTAATATGATGTGTAGAATTTAGGCACCGTAGTAGAATGTAATTCCATATTAATTTGCTTATTAGATATGTCACACAGTGAGATAGTACTATCTATCGGATGACGTTTCGAACACAACTTATTGTTCATAATCTCCTCATCAGTTGTGACCTCACAACTTCAAAACTCTCGTTTTGTAGTTTTCTCTGTTCCTTCCTATCTGTCGTAGAGGTGGTAGAATTTTCCAGATGTCAGGCTGGACAGGTGGTGGAACTGAAGTCGTGAGGTCATAATTGATGAGAAGATTATGAAGAATAAGTTGTGTTCGAAACCTCGTCCTCCAGTAAATAATACCATGCGATATATCTAATATAGAAAATTAAAACAAGTGATTCAGCGAGGAGACTCTCGCCAACAACGAATTTATCATCAAGCAGTACAATCGTATATGCATGTATGGTTTTTTCAAGAAGCAATATCCGACGAGGGAATTGAATCATAGGTATGAATGCATAAAATAATGATATTAGTAGGATGAAATACAAGCGAAATGCTTGTGATTATAATCATGGTGAAATGTCAAATAGCAAAACAATCAATATCATATATAGAATAATCCATAGTATGTAGAGAACTTGGAGGGATGTACAATTATAGGATTAGTAGACAAATCGAATAAAATAAAAAACGTTACGTGACAGTGCATGAAATTTGATAACATAGAATTTTCTATAGTTTGGTTTGTAAGGGTTAGTTTTGTTTTTTACGAGTTGATCATGGATTGATATCAGTTAGAGAACCATTGAAAACCAGCTTGAGGGAGTACTGGACAGCCAGCTGTTTCATCCTAGTTTGAGAATCGTCGGCAGTACAAACCCACCACACTGTGGGAATCAAACCCACGACCTTCCGGTTACAAGGCCAGCTAGCTGGCTCGTATACCATTCAGCCACTGGGAGCCGACTCCTCAATGGCTAGAGCATGAATTCTAACTCCTACCAATTCGTGATTTAGCACGACTCCAGACAATACCGTCGGTGAGACATCCATCTTCACATGTGACTGGATGGAACTCACTGGTCATGACTTCTCACTAGAACTTCGGGAAACTCCGTCTTGTAGCAAGTCACTAGCGAGCATCACATTAAATTTCTATAGTTGGTTTGTAAGGATTAGTTTTGTTTTTAAGAGCTGATCACAGATTGATGTCAAACCAACTATAGAAGTTTAATTTGATCCTTGCTGGTCACTTTCTACAGGATGGAGTCAGCCGCCTGGAGTTCCAGTGAGAAGTTGTGACCAGTGAGATCCCTCCAGTCAAGGGTGAGGATGCATGTCCCACTTACGACAATGGTTGGGGTC